TGAGGAATCGCTCGGCTTGCTCTCCTCGGACCTTCAGATCCTTCCATGTCTTGGACGGTGCTGTCCCCATTGCTTCCAACACGTCCAATGTGAGGTTGTTGTGGCAAGTTTGGAGGATGAATTCCTCGGTGATCGGGTCCCGGCAGTTCATCGCCTTGTTCCAGAACCTTTTGACGAAGGTGTCGACTAATTCCACGTCCTTCTGCTTCTCATCGAGCAATGATCCGATAGATATCTCGGTGTCGTCATCGAAAAAATTGGTGAGGAACATAGTCTCCATATCGTCCCAGCTGTTCACGCTACCTGGCTTGAGGCGGCGATACCAATCGAAGGCGGCTCCGCGAAGAGTGCCGACGAATGACCGCACCATCAGAGGCTCATTGCCGGAGATTACCCCCAAGTGTGATTTGAAGTAAATTAAATGTTGAGTGGGCGAACCCATCCCATTAAACGGCGTGAAGTTAATTAGGTTGAACTTCGCCGGATATGGGATTGATTCCCACTCTCTTGGGTATGGACAAGGAATGCCTGTTTTCTTCATCTCTTGAGCGGAAATCAACGTGTTGATTTTGCTCTCGAGATTTTTAATCTTCAAGTTTTCACCTGTGTTTTCGCTAGCATTCTCGTTACCACCCCCTGCATTGACGGGAGGATTATTAGTATTACGAGCTTCATTCGTATCCTCGTCCTCCTGATGAACTTGGTTGCGACGACTTGGTTCGCCTTGCTGGTTCGTCAATGCTTGGATTTGTTGGTCATGCATTTCTCTCATGTTTTGCATGGCCATCTGCATTTCGAACCTGAAGGTTTCCTGTTGCTTACCTAAGGCGTCTTTAAGCATTTTGGCCACTTGCTCCGAACTTATCATAAGTACCTCGCGGGGTTGTCCCTCGCTAGATACCGTATTATCTGATGCAACCGCGGAGCCGGCATCAGATTCTTCATCTTCTGAAGGGAGTCTTGTCCGAACCCTACCATAGGTTGCTCGTTTAATGGTTCCGGACTGCAGACGGGTTCTAGGCCGGGATGCTTTTAGAATTGACTCGAGATTATCTCGCGCCGATGTCCCTCTGCTGGTCATGTTAGTAGTGACCCTCGGAAATTCTCCCTCTTCAACCACCATTCTTCTTCGTCGGAAACGCCTAGGCCTTGGTTTTGACGTTTCGGTACTAAGTCTTCTTCGTCGGAAACGCCTAGGCCTTGGTTTTGACGTTTCGGTACTAAGTCTTTCGAAAACCGAAACTCTTTCGGGGACCGCCTTGATGCAGTCGCACTCAGACAATACTGCCCGAATGAGTTTGGAACAGGGGCATTGAGTTTCCTGTTCTCGGGGACTCCTCTTCCTGGTTTTACTCGTACCCCCAGCACGATAGTACAACTCGTCTGCTTGACGATCGGAGTAACCTATCGTGTGTTGGCACGACTTCTCAGGTATAACGCTATCGTCATCAGATGATAACGTTTCCTTCTGAGAGGGAATTGCTTTCTTAGGGCTTTCGAAAGTCACGCGCCTCGTAATATGCCTTTTTGGGCGTGAGTTCTCAGCGGGCTCCTGGACTTCAATGCGTAAGTTGGTACGCGTAGCTGCCCTGGTCTCTTTGTCATGTTGAGGGTAACGGCGACCCTCAGCATTGTAGGCTGTCTAAAAATCACAATAGATAGCTGATCCCCATCAAACACCGATGATGGAAGTTACAATCGGACGGACTTCCAGAACGCGTTACAATCTTGAAGACTTTCACGGGTATAGATCGCTAAAGGTTATCAAATCCTGACGACCTCACGACACGCGATGACGAGCTCTAGTTTAACAGCGCTTCCGACCGAACTACAACATCTGCAGAGTTACATAGTCTGGACAGAACCCTCTTGCATATCAAAGAGCTAAAGGTAAGATTACAAAATGCACTGATCTTCGCGAACGCCTGTCGCACAGAAAAGGAGACTCACAATCGACGGTCTCTTTCAAAATCAAGGGCTCGGAGTCCTGCTCCTCCTCGCCCGCACCACCAGTCATTCAAGAACTCGCCGCCGTTCATAGCTACAAACACAGTCGACAACGTGAGCTTCCAACTCTACTGCCGCAAGCCACAGTTCTGCAAACGCCAGCTCCAGATCACTGCCAAGCACCCAGTTTCAAACGCAGCTCCAACTACGAGCGCTGCCAAGACAGCTCTTGAAAGCGGCAAACTCAACATCAGGCCTCTGAACGCGTTCAACCGTTGCCAGAGCGCGAGCTCCAGCTGACTCCTCGAACGCCAGTCTCCTATACTGCTGCCAACGCCACCTTCAAAGCATAGGAAGCAGCAACTCATCCATCAGGCTGCCAACGCAGCCCAGCTGTCCAGTCGCTCCGCAAAGGCCAGACCTCACATCACCGCCAGAAGGGCGCAGTGTTAACGCGTTCGTGACTCATTGTCAAACGTCCGATCTAACAACTTCGAAGGCTCGTTCTACTCGACCAGCGATTTGAGGAGCTGGCTTTAGTGGCGTTGTTTGACACCCGACTAATGCGGTAACTAAAACCGCCCATTTAGGCAGCGGATCTATGTGGCGGCACGTTACACCGCTAACTCCCGACCTCATTAAAAATAGCAACAAACTTCAACAGGAGTCAAGGATCTCTTATTTGGAGCGAGGGAGATCGGATTTTTGATAATCAAGATCAGGGCTGGATCTTTCGGGTACGCCGTTGTTGGAACTTCCCTTGCCAGCAAAAAGAGGATCCTTCATCTCTTCGGTTGGAGCTTGGCTAGATACGCCAACAAGATCTTCTTCATCCATTGGCTTATTAACCGATCTTTCCCCCGGTTAAATCTAACTCTTTCATTATAGAAGTTTCAAACTCAGTCAGAGTCTCTCCACAACGTCAAATCCGCTGAGGACGAAGACCAGTTCCAGTGAAGCCAAGACGCTCTGGGGCAGTAATCCCGGGGCCCGGCGCGGAACCGCCGGCGAATGCCCGCACGGGGCAGCGGGGTGCACCGTGCGCCCCTTGTGGCGACGGGCCGGCTCGGGTCGAGATGTCCGACGCCTGTTCAACGAGAAGCAAGACTGCGACCATGAGCGTTATTCGAGGTAGGCAATTCTCATCGCCAGCCGGCTCGAAGAACCCAGAATTTCAAAACAAGAGGGGAGAATCCAATCATTTCTTCCCTCTCCCTTTGGTAATCAGGATTAATCCATTGTAACTGAGATTAAAGGAATACAAATCAATTTTCCTTCATTTCTTTTACTGCAAATTTTCCCACAAACAAGCATGTTACGTCGTTCGGAGCTTCTTTATCGGTCCCAAACGCTCTTGAACTGGAGCCTTGACTCGCTCATCGGAAAGTGGACCGAGACACTCCGAAACTGGCTTCTTCTTTCGGGATGATTCTGCGTGATCTCCCGGAGTAGTTGCTGGAATTATCGGCGATATGGGTTGTTTCGCCGGGGATTGAACTTTGGTTGGAGGCTGCTTCGGCCTCCACACTTGGCGGGTTGATGGCGGCTTCTTGGCCACTCTTTCTCCCTCCAATTTCTTGGCCTCCTGCACAAGAATTTTTGCTTGTGCGAGTAACGCGCGGCGTTTGTGAATCCGCTCTTCAAGTGTCGAACGGTTCCGTTTGACCCGGATCCATTCGTTCGTTGGCGGCTTGGAGGAACCG